GTCTTGAGAGCTGCTATGGAAATGTCTGTTGTGGGAGTCAGAGTGGACTCTCCTGTGGATGTGGCACTAAAGCTGGTGAAGGTGGTCTGATCTGTTCTAGCCTGTGCTGCAGTGGCCGCAGGTGGTTGTGTAGGCCTGGCTGCTAAGGATGTGCTGGTGATAGTGGGTTCTGGGGTGGTCTCAGCTGTTGTGGAGCGGGTGGCCTGGACACTTGGAGCTGGGGACATGCTTTCTGTCTGTGTGGGGGCAGCACCAGTGGCAGACGTGGCAGAGGCCAGTGCAGATGTGCCTGGAGTGCTGGTAGCACGGGTACTGGCATCTCCAGCACTTGGGAGCACAGTTGCTGTGATGCTAGGAGGCGTGCTAGCCAGCTGTGCTGCTTCCGTGCTCTGCAGGGTCAGGGCAGCCGCAGGACTGGGAGCTGTGTGGGTGGCGGGGCTGTGTGCTGTGCTTGTCAGGGCATCGGCGCTGCCCAGAGAGGAGGCAGGCAGGCTTGTGGTTGTGAGGGGAGGGGGGGGTGTGCTGCGTGAAGATGGGTCTGTGGATGTGGAGGTCTCCGTGACCCCCAAGCTAGTGGGGAGTGAGGAGGCGGCAGCTGTGGATGTGCTGTCGGTGGAGTGGCTGCTTGCATCTGGGAGGCTGGGAGGGTCAGGAGGGGTTGATGGGGCAGCCACTGACACCACCAGCGTGGTACCAGTCATGGATGTTTCTGAGGTGGTCAGTGAGGGCCAGGTGGCTATGGCAGAGGTGAAAGTGGTTGCTGTGTGTGCAATCGTGGCAGCAGAGGTGAGATCGGGTGTGGAGTGTGTGGCAGCAGTAGTGGGGTAAGTGAGGGAGGTGACCTCAGATGCAGCCTTGGACCTGGCATCAGTAGTTGGGTTGAAGCTCAATGACGGGGTGGTGCCTGTGGCGCCCGGGGTGACGGCTGAAACAGAGGTGGAAGGCACAGGGCTATCTGTGGCTGATGTTCCCACACTGGTGGCCACGGGAGGAGAGGTGCTGGATGTCCCAGAAGTGGGCACCTCTGTGCGGGTGACAGAAGAAGCAGTGAGGGCAGGAGAAGTAATGTCCATCTTGAGAG